TGGTTCCCAACCTCCTGTAACTGCAGTTTCAGAGGATGTGATGCCCTCTCCTGGCCTCCACGGGCACCAGGCATGGATGTGGTGCACATACAAGCATGCAAGCAAAACACACATACAATTAAACAAATAAACCTAATTTTGAAACATGGAAGAAAATTAGGATGATAGGACTGGGAAGTTGGCTCCAAGGTTAAAAGCACTGTTGGAGCTGCAGAGGGACCCAGGCTGGGTTCCCAGCACCCACGTGGAGGTTCACAACCACCCATTAACCCCAGGTCCAGGAGATCTGACACCCTCTTCTAATCCCCTTGGACATCGGGCATGCACATACATTCATGAAGGCAAATGCTTATAAAATAAATAGATCTTTAAAAAATAAAAATAGAACCTGGTGGTAGGTAGAGCCTTCAATCCCAGCACTTGGGAGGCAGAAGCAGGAGGATCTCTGTGAGTTTGAGGCCAGCCTGGGCTACAGAGTGAGATCCAGAACAGTCAGGGCTACACAGAGAAACTCTGTCTCAAAAACCAAACCCAAATCCGTGGGCTTTTAAATATATATATATTTGCTTTCATCTTCCGTGGCAGCTAGCGTCTTTGCCCTGTACTCATGCAGTACCCTCACAGGCCAGAAGGGGGAGTCAGTCGAATCCTTTGGAACTGGAGTTACAGACAGTTGTCAGCTGCCAAGCAGGGGCTGGGAACTGAACCTGGGTCCTCTAGAAGAGCAGCCAGAGCTCTTAACCACTGAGCCATCTGTCCAGCCCCGTGGTGGCTTTTTAAAAATGGTTTTCCCTCTCTCTTTGGTTTTGTTAATTTGAAACAAGATTTCAATTCTGTATCTCAGGCTAGCTTAGAAGGCAAGATGGTCAAAAGCTGAAGGACCGTGTGGGCCACTGTAAAAGCCCTCCATTACCTACACACACACACACACACACACACACACACACACACACACACACACACACACACACGTCTTACAAAATCCGTATACCTGGATCCTGATTTCCCTACGTGATCCTAATTTCATAAAGATAAGTATGTACGTGTGTTTATGTATGTGTCTGTGCTTGTGTCTGTGTGTCTGTGTATGTTTATGTATGTGTCTCTGTGTGTTTGTGTGTGTGTACAGAAGCAGAGATGGGAAAGAAATACACATAAATGACTAAGCTTTTCTCTGCAGTAGGATTATGGGTAATATCACCCTCTGCTGGAATGTCTCCTTAGGTCCTGAAGTAACTATCTAGTTATCTTTATTATAAAAGAAAGCTTCTAAAATTGACCTGATAAACTTTCCCAGTAGCATCCACCCAGAGCTACTCCGAAGCTTAATAAACGTCAAAAGGGTGAATGAGAGGTGAGCCTTACCCCTCCCCCACAGCCAGATTTACAGAAATTGCTTCTGAGAGGCTTACTAAACACCTGGTGCCCGTTCGTGCCCCATGATCTCCTCATACTCATCCTTCGAGGGTCTATCACCCTCCCATTCCACAGAGCAGAACACTGAGGCCCAGAGCGATAATGTCAGTCTGCCCTGATATTTGGGCTTTCAGCTTCTGGTATCACGCACAGAGGCCTCAGAGATTTGCACAGCCCTGACTTCCACTCTGCATGCACCTCAAGCCTACACAGGCAGAGTGGTTAAGGATGGTTTGGGGGCTCAGAAAGACCTGAGTCTAAACTGGGTGTGCTTGTCTGGAACCCAGCACTTGGTGGAGTAAAGACAGGAAAATGAGATGCTCCACCTTCGTCCTCAACTACACAGCAAGTTGGGGCCAGCCTGGGCTACAGGCGACCCTGTCACAGACAAAAGCTGAGCTTGTGACTCCTATACTCCTCTGCAGTGAGAGGCACTGCTGCGTCTGAGCCCGTGTCCTGGGCTCTGAATGAGAACAGAGAAAGTCCCACTGCAGAACGCGGTGCAGGTTGGAGAAGCCCTGGAGCCAAGGAGAAGCTCCGGAGAGTCTCGGTGTCCTTGGTGACTCCTCCCACTCACTCTGCTGGGTCTGTGAGTCACACACACTCCCCAGGGAATGATCCTAAGACCTAGGAAATGGCAGATTCTGGGCAAGGCCAGCCGGCCCTGGCAGCTGTTCGTTCTGCCCTCTTCCTGTTTGGTTTCACCCAAGCCACCGGTCCAGTTTCTGTCATCCTGTTAGGTCTAACGGGCTTGAGTTCCAGAGAGGGGCCGTGGAGGCTGGAGGCAAGGGTTTGGGTTACCTGTCCAGGGTCACAGGACTCCTCCCATTGCCTGGCACCAGCCTCCAATTCCCCCATACTCACTCTCTGCCCACCTAGTCCACCCCTTTACCACCACCATTTACCACCTCTTGACCACCATTCTTCACAGATCTCCCCGTCCCCAGACACCCCCTGATTTCCTAGCATGGCTGGCCTTAGCATGGTGCCAAGAACCTGTCCAGACTCCAATTCCACATCCAGACTAGCAGCCAGAGCCCCAGCACACTGTCTGTCCCTACCACAGCCACCCTGGCCTGTCTCCAAGACTCTCCTCAAGTTCTCACACACACACACCCATCAATTCCTTCTGTTGCCTAGTGTCTCCGGAACTCCCCCAGCACCTGCACCCTCTTGGGCATTCTGGAAGGCAGGGAGTAAGTTGGTAGACGCATCACTGGCTCCCAAGGCTCAAAATACAGCAGAAGCCTCCAACAACCCCGAGGAGAAGGACACCACTGTCAAAGCTTTTTATGCCTTTGTCCTGCAGCCTCTCCACCTTCTGACCCCCCCAGACTCCAGGTGAAACTCCCTGCTCCCTACCGGACCTCTCACCCTCTCACCGTCAACGTTGTTCCTCTGCCTGAGATGCCCCGCCCCACCTCACCACACAGCCAACTGCAGCTACTCCCTCACCACGCAGTCCAGGTATCGCCTCCTCTGGCTAAATCAAGTCCCTGCCCTGGATCTCAAAGCCCTAGGAAGCTGCATTTGATCCTGGGGTAGCATCTAACCTCGGGACCCTGGAGTACGGCTGTTAGAAGCTAGCGGCCACCTGAGGCTAGTGCTCAGTCTGGACATCAAACGCTCTGATGGCCAGGTGTGGTGGTGCACACCTTTAATTGCAGCACTCAGGAGGCCAAGACAGGTGGATCTCTACAGATGACTTCAAGGCCAGCCTGGTTCTACACAGTGAGTTTCAGACCAACCAAGGCTGTGTCAAAAAACAAAAACCAAACCCTGAGGCTGAACAGGCGTAGCAATGATTAACACCAGCGATTTTAATTGTTGACCAAATGTGCACCCTTGCAGGACAGGAGACAGAAGCTGCTGGTGTGCTGGCTAATCCCAGCCCCCAACACTGAAGGCCTAGTACATTCCAGGTGCCTGCTATTAGGCTGTTCCCTGCATCACTCCATCAAATCTTCCCAACAGCCTATTGTAATCACCGTACTTTTTCAAAGGACGTAAACAGACTCAGGAAAGTTGAGCTGTCTGGCCACGGCCACATCAGTTGGACACGTTGAAGATGGGGTAGAAACTGGGCACCTCCTGACCCACAGCCATGACCTTTACCTCTGCACCGCATCATCTTTCGGGAATGTCTTCTGGCTGGAAGTAGAACTGAACCCCTAATCTGAGCAAGAGGGGGCAAAGGCAAGCGGCACATACTGAACCTCTCTAAACGAGACAGGGCTCAGTGACCCCAAGTTCAAAGGTGTGGTTGAGAACTCTTCCCAGCAGCCCCCAGCACCTTGGCAGCAGACAGAGCGGACAACCAAAACCTTGCATACTACAAAGCCTGCCATGAGTGAGCCCTTCCTTACCTCAGTGAGAGGGGAAATGCTTTACTGACATCACTGTGCTCCAGGTACAGCGAGATGGAGACGTTTTACTTTGCTAACTTAGGCAGTACTCAGTGTTGCCTAGGCAGGCAAGTGCTCTCCCATTTCACTCTACCCCAAACCTGTTAGCCTAGACTGGATTCCAGTTCTCTATGTAACCAAAGATGACTTCTGGCTTCCGAGCCTTCTGCTTCTATACCCCGGGGCTGGGATTACAGCCAAGGACCACAACACCCAGTTTATGATGTGCTAGAGCTTGAACCCAGGGATGGATTTATGCATGCTACACAAGCTATCTATTAAGTGTGTCTCTTAAGTGCCTATTCATATTCTCTCTCTCTCTCTCTCTCTCTCTCTCTCTCTCTCTCTCTCTCTCTCTCTCTCTCCCCCTCCCTTTGAGACAGGGTCTTGCTATATTCTCTAGTTGGCCTTGAACTTGCTCTGTAGCCTAGGCCTCAAGGAGGATAGCCTACCCTGAATCATAGCCAGAGCTCCTGACCACATGGCCACTGGGGAAAGGAAGAGAGAACCCGTGGCCAGTCCACAAGAACCACAGGGGCTCTCTATTAGAGAACACACAGTGCAAAGACAGGTGCCCAAAGCATCCTGCTGTCTCCCTCACCTAGGCGCTTAGAGGTTTAATAAGAAACAATGTAAATACGGTCTCATACAGAATTACAAACTGATGATGTGGGACAAGCCCACACTGCTACAGCAACCACAAAAGACGACTACCAAATATGATTTGGGGACTGTCCCCACAGCCTGGAGCCTGTCCCTGCTGTATGCTCCGAAGACCCAAGACATGGTATAGTACACCTCAGCCCACCCCTATGAGATTTCGGAGGACCAAACATACACGCTCCTCCTGTCAAATTACCGGGTCACAAGCTGTGTGTGACAGACACACAAAGTGTTGCCAAACTGCCCCACTGCCCTGATGCAGAAGCAAAGAAACGTCAAGGATGATTAAACGTAATGTAGTTAGGCTAGTGCAAGCATACACGCACACACACACACACACACACACACACACACACACACACACACACATGAGACCTGTCCTCACCTCAGAGGACTTGGCCTCTGTGCAGGACATGCAGGACCCCCAGGAAGTGGGGGTTGGGGATCCGGGTGTGCAAAACGTAGTGTCCACACTGACCCTGGGACCAAACCCCGCGGCGCCCTCGGCCGACTCACCGGACGATGCCAAACATGACGAGCACGTTGCCCAGCAGCCCCACGGCGCACACAGCGGAGTAGAGCGCGGTGATGGCGATGGCTAGGGCGAGGGATGAGGCGCTCCGGGCGCCCGGCGGCCCCGACGCGTTGGAGCTCGCGCTGGGGAAGGCGTCCGAGGCGTTGACGAGGAGCGGGGACTGCAGCTCGGTACGGGCAGAGGGCACCGGCTCCATGGCGCCGCCGCGTCCGTCTCCACCGTGCGCCCTGGGCGCAGGGACCCAGCGAGTGGCGCGCGGACAGCGGAGGCCACGGCCCCGACGTCGCAGGCTGCAG